TACTCAGTTCACCCGCTCGCCGCCCTCCAGGTGGGCCAAGGAAAAGCCTACTCCCGACTGCAACAGGTGATTCTCTATCCCAGCTACGTAGAGCATATACAGTAGCGGAGAAGGCGGGAACCCCTGTGGGAGGCCTTTTGTGATCGTCGCCTCCTCTAACTCGGCTCCTTGCAGTTCTGCTGCTGTTTTGCCATCGTAGAGACGTCGAACGAGAGGGACACACGGCGTTGGTATACCTAGCTGCTCCAAACACTGTGTAAGCATCGAGTATGTGTGGTACACTATCGTAGGCCTTTGCAGCATCCAGGAAGCAGCGCAGCAGTTGTCTGCCTTCTTTCCTGGCAACCTCAGTGCACTGCGTAATGGAAAACAAATTGTCCTCAAGCCGACGTTCCCTTCAAAGTCCCCCTGAGGTGTCCGGCCTCTTCCACCCATGCTGTCATTCGCTCCTTGACGAGGTGGGCACACCTTGCTCGCAACTGTCAGGGGTAGGTAAGCTGAGCAAATAGTGCCCGATGGCTCACTTTCTTCAGGATCAAAACAACCCGGCAACGTCTCCAGTCTGGTGGTATGGTCTCATTCAAACAGAAAATGGCGTTCAGGGTCGAAGCTAGTTTCTGTCTGGCTTCCTTCCCCAAACTCTTGAGGATGTCTGCCGGTATTCCATTTAGTCCCTGGGGGTGTTTCTTTTCAGGTGGGTCAACGCGTGCAGCCAACACCACCCAGATAAGCAGAAGGCCTCTGCATCGTGATGATCGAGGCTTGAGATTGGGCGCAAGTGCTGCGTCAGGGTTCGGCCGTGGCTTGTGTTCAATCAGCGCGTCCAAGGTCGGACTCGGGCCCAATAGCCAAGTTAGCGCGACCCGACTGTGATGACGTTTCATGAAGGGAGAGAAGGCAGTGTGAAGGCTTTGGTTATTCTAGGTGGTGTTGGCGGAGCACATTCACACCCCGATTTTCCACTGGTCGGTGTCGAATTTGGACTCAGCAATCTTTTAGCCCTTGCTGTTGAGGGTTGTGCACTCCGGAGAAAACATCTCTTTTTAAGTAGACAGTTAAATACATGCCCAAGTCCTCCACTTCCTGTTCTGTGCACTCATTTAAAATAACATTAGCCTTCTATCGTCCCACGAGTGTATTCATTTAAGTTCAGAACCTTCTCGCGGCGTCTTTTCCACTGGTACGGATATCATAGATGGTTCGCAAATCAGTCGTTCTCACTTTCTCTTGGGTCAGTTGTCTGGCGTATTGCTTATGTATCTGATACAACTTTCACTTTCTCTCGGTCGCGTCATCGTCTCCTTGTCGAAGCGTCTGACGATGCTTCCTGTTGGCGGCCTGCTTGGCTTGTAGAGTCGTTTTCGCTTCAGAGTCCCACCAGCGTTTCCTCCGCCTTCGTTCGTTGGTAGGTTGGGACTTCGAGAGCCGCCGGATAAGGCCACTGAGCACAGTCACACATTGCCAGTAGCCTGTCCTGAGCACAGTCACATATTCCAGGTGGCCTGTCGCGTTCCTCCTTTCGTCGCTTTCCCCGAAGAGGTCTGCAACCGTTGCCGCCGCGTCCGAGAGAGAGATCCTCGCGATTTCAGACCCAGGCGGACTGGGTCTGAAATCGCGACGATCTCTTGCTTGTAACGGCTAAGGGCATCACGCGAAATACTTTTGTAGAGTCCAGTGGTGAGTGCAGTGGGAATTCTGGCGGCGCACACGGTCGTCCAGGCGTCGTCAACAAACACGGTGCACAGAACACACACACAGCAGGCACAAGCACAGTATCCAGTGTTGAGTGCATCGGGAAGTTCCGGCGGGCAAGCAGTATCCGAGTTGTCCAAGTATTGTCACCAAGCACACCAGCGCCAAGTGCATCCAGATGCCGAGCCAAAGTGCAATGGGTCGGCAGCTTCACACTATATAAAGATTAAAAGCCGAGGTCAGTGGGTATCCATCTAGGGAAACGATGGGCGCGTCAGTATCCGTGCGCCCGCAGCGCGAACGTCGCCGTCGGGGGAGCGCCAACCGACAGTACGACGAGAGCGAAGAACGTAAACTCTCGGAGCGCTGCCGCCGACTGCAACAGTCAAAGCGAGGCGCGCGCGCGGAGAACGCCCGCTCGCAGCGCCTGCGTAGCGGATGCGCCTGTCCCTAACACGTGACCTGCGAGAGACCGCAGAAGTTCCCCGCCGACCCGACCCTCCCCCCCCCCCCCCCCCCCTTCCCCTGCTCCAGCCACGCGTGTGCGCGCCCGCTGGCTGGGAGCAGGCCCTACTCGAACAAGGGGAACGGATCGGATCCACCCACCACCGTGCGATTCCAGTGCGTTGTGTCTCAATGGATCCGACTGTTACACCCAGAATCGCGCGGATCGGAACTGTCCACAAGTTTAGAACCGCACGGATCCGACCTGAAACCGCTCCAATCTGACATTTTCGTACGAGGTTTCAGCCGGTCCCCATGCCGCGTACACGTATCCAGAAGCTCTTGAAGACCGAGCCTCGAGCTCGCTGTTCACAATGTCATCTGCGTAAAGCATACCTGAAAGCGTCTGGGACACCTTCCGTCCGTCTAGCATGAATGACGCATCAAAACCATGCCCACATATCCCTCCAAGCTGGCCTCCATTTCACTTAGAAAAAGCATGAAGATCATTGGAGACGGCGGTCAGCCCTGCCTGAGGCCCCGGCCTATTGGCACCATCACTGACCCTATCCCCTGTTAATCCACCACCACCTTTGAACCTGCGCACAGTTCTCGCAAGAGATCCACTACTCTCCCGGGAAGTCCCTTGTTACGTAACGACTGCCACAGGTCAGCCTGTTCGATGCAGTCGTATGCCTTGTCCACATCAAGGAAGGCCACTCATAGCTCCCGCTCCTCCGTGCGTGGAACAAACAAGTTATCCTCCAGGCGCCGTCCTCTGCGGAACCCATTCTGCAGTTCGCCAAGGATCCCCTCTCTTTCCACCCATGCCTGTATTCTCCTCCGCAGCACTTGGGTGAAGACTCTGTACAGCACCGGGGTCACCGTGATCGGCCTGTACGATAATAATCTACTCCTTTCCCCAGCACTTTTATACAAGAAAGTCATTTGACCGTGGCGCCAGTCCTGAGGTATCTCTCCAGTTCCCAACATATCACTAAAGCACCCCCTCAACGCAAGGCACTGCCTTGAGCCCAGCTTCTTGAGGAGAGACGCTGGAAACCCATCCATTCCTGTCGCCATGCTTTCCTGGATCCGACTACGATGTTCTTGAGCTCCGCCTCGCCCATAGGACCCAACCACTCATGCGAGTCGATCTCATCTGTCTCCGGCTCACTCTCTATTTCGTCCACCTCCCCCTCCTTTCCAAACGCGGCAGCGACTTCCGCCGCCACAAACTGCACGCCCTCCGTCTCTGATAGGAGGATTTCTGATTCCGGGTGACGCAGCAGCTGTTTGGGCGTCGCATGCCTAGACCTCTGCATATGTCTTCAGAATTTTCTTGGTGCATTCCTACCACTTCTTCTCAGATCCTCCAGGAACCTCAGCCCACGTTGCGAAGCTTCTCCTGGATCAAGCTTACCGCTACCTTCTTCTTGGCTCTGTATATTCCCCATAGGCTCATCCGTGCCTGCTCGGGCCACCGGGCTCTCAGCGCCATCCGATGTTTGCAGCATGCGTCCTTTCTGGCTCTGATTGCAACTTGTACATCCCGGTCCCACCATCGTTTCAGGCTGTACTTCTGTCGTTTTCCCAACCTGCGTCTTTTCTTCTTCAGCTCCTGTCGTACACGCTTCATTATCCGTTCATACTCTGCCTCCGGCGTCACCTCGAGTCGCTCTGTAATCTGGTCGTTGCCTCCCCTCTCGTTTTCCATTCTCCCGCCAAATTCCATAAACATTCTGTTGTGGTCACTTCCAACACTATGATCCCCCTCTTCATCGATGTCCATCCTGGTCAAGCGGTCGTGAGGCCAGGTGACATAGCATCAAACTTTATGCAAGACTTCCGGTCCCCCGATGACCACGGAGTGAATTTCTCGCACTTCGTTCCCGTTGACCACCGTTTTAGTAGCTCCTGGCCGTTGGCATACGTGGCCCGGGTGGCCCCATCCAGGCTGTCCAGGTGTGCTGATTGTCGTACAATGCTGCCAGGCGTCTCTTGGTGAAACGTCGAGAGATTCTTCAAAGCTATTTATAAAAGATATAGGTGTTGTCTTGGGCCGAGAAAGAGCACAAACAATTAAATAAAATACCTGAACCAGTAATAGACCAAGAAAATTTGAAAAATATCTCAATTTTTAAAGGAGGTTGCAACGATTTTATGATTAAAAGATTTGCATCTCGTCATTTTCACGTTGTCTATCGTGTCCCGGGGATAGGGAAAACATCTCCAATTGTGTCTTTAAAATTGTTTGGGGGCAATTGTGCCTTTAAAATTGTTTGCTAGCCGCCCACCGTTCCCGCATTACTGCCGCCATCAGCTAAGCACCACACAATGTTATTGTGCTGACTTTGGCTAAGGCGCGAATTAATCAAAATCTTTAACCAACTTCCGTTTTTTTTTTTGTTTTTTTTTGCAAATATTAATATTTTGTTTAACAAAAAGAAAAAAATACTGAAGGAAAAATAGGATTGCTTGCATCCTGCTTTCTAGAGTGCTCTACTGCTTTCATGCCTTTTTTCAAGTCCCCGAGCGACGAGTACTGTGTACTGTACAGTTCAATCTCTACCCAAATGCGGAAGAAAAAAATAGAAAAATGAAGAGGCGATTATGTATTTGTTTGAAATCGAATTAATTCTGAAACACGGGTCTTCCCCCAATTAAACACCGCACAATCAATAATATTTCTACGGAATCGATGCTGCCAACATGCCAATGTCACACCACAAACATCGTTAAGTCAGTCACTATGTTCAAACTTTCCCGCGTCCAAGTCGCGCCTCGGGGCGCTCGGGGGAGTGTGGATTAGAATCCACTTCAAGTGAGGATAAGAATCCAACGCAATCCGCATTCGGAGTTAACACAGCGGGACGGCCTCGTCGGATATCGTCGGGCTGCTTTTGCTGCGACGTGTTTTTTTGCGCCGGTTCTTGTAGAATAGCTATGCAGTAGTGTAGTGCCTCTGGTGGTTCCTGGTCGGTTAGTGTGAAGGTTAGTTTTCTCCCCTCAAGTGTCATCCTTCCAACCAGCCATGAAGCTGGTATCGGGTGGGACGGACCTGCTCTTCGAGCAGTACAGCATCCAGCAGATCCAGGAGATCGAGCAGAACATCAGGTACACGGGAGGTCTACCCCAGGCCGTGACATCTCGCCTGCCTCGGTCATCTCTAACTTTCCATTTTATTCCTCGACGCGCTTTTTCTAGGGCCGACATCGAGATGAAGAAAGAGGATCTTCGGCAAATGGTCGGGTAGGTACCCCTCGCTGTTTCGACGTCGTCGACAGAACTGCGCGTTTTGGTGGACGGTTACACGCGGTTGCCTTTGCCCAGGCTTTCTACGTTCGTTGCAAACTGAAACTTACGGCTGGTGCACACATTTGCGTTTAAGTGTGACCGAGCCACCGAGTGCGTCTCGTAGAGAGACTACGTTTTGCTCGCTTACGGTGGCTGTCTGTCAGGTGGATTCCAGTATATGCGCGATAAAATCTATGCACTGAGAAATGATCGGTTTTAGCAATTCGCAGAATCATTTCAACCCAAGGGTTGAAATACTATGAAAAAATTATTTCAAACCCATGCCGGCAACCCATGGCCTGTAAATAGCCCCAGTAGATGCCCAGTGTGTAAAGCACTCTGCACATGCCAGTTGCCGATAGTCAGGTGTCTCTTGTGATGTCAAGTCCAATCTTGCAAAGTTAATATAGGCTTTTGAAGTTGTGGCTTCCTCCTGATCGTTGCCGGCTCCTCTCTAACCATGTTTCCTACCATTCTCTCTTTCAGCGAGCGGTACCGAGACCTCATAGAGGCTGCGGACACCATAGCCAAGATGAAGCAGACCTCAGAAAGCGTAAGCCTAGGCGCGCACATCTCTCGCTCACAAAAACCGATGGGCGGCCTGCGAACACTGCGCAGGTGAAAAGCTACGTGGCCCTTCTGACAGAACAGTGCCGGGACCTCCAGCAAGCGTGCCAGAGCAAGGCCGGCAGGGCCCCCCTGGCTGCCTGCCCCGAGTGAGTGCTGCTCTGCTCATCTACACCCCTGCCTGGGACGCTAACTAAAGTCGTCCCTTTAGAATGCGGGTTCTGAAACACGGTGTCTTTGGGGTCCAGGAGGGCACCCGGATACCCTTATGGATTCCTCCAAGCACATATATATACTATGAGCCAAACACTCCCTCATATGTTCACTCCTTATTGTTCTTGAGTTCTGCAGGTTCCCGCGCCACTGTTTTGCATTAATGCCAAGATTGGGAGGAGTTTGTCGGTTGCCGTTCTTTAAAGGGGAGGTGCAATGGTTTTCAGACTTTGGTCAATTAACTGCGGAAATTAATCTGTGTCACCCATGGAACGAAGAACAGAAAACCATACTTTCTTGCAAGCACTGGTTTTCGTGTAAAAAAAAGAAACAAATTGAAGGTCAAAGTGCCTCTCAACTCTCCACGTCGCCTTTCGGGTGACGTATTCTGGGAGATCACATGGTTTCCCCTTGGGTTCTCTCTTCAGAGACCCCTGCCACTTCCTCCGTGATTATCAACTTTTAAAGGATTAGCATCGTCGAAGGTTGCGGCAAGCGATCGACACATAAGACTGTTCACCATGGGGGTGACGGCGAGTGTGGCAGCGGAGGGGGACAGGTTTTGTTTACTTTCGCATATCCCCCAGAGTATGTCAAACATCAATTCGGTTAACCATCACAAGCGGCTGCAGATCGACAAATATTTTGTTTTCTTCTTTGCGATTACGCACCGGAATAGCAGTTTTTCGGGGCAAGGTGACGCATTTTTGGTCACTTGTGCTTGAATAAACAATATAAAAAATACAAATTGCCAATTCTTTCAACACTAAAATCGTTCCACTACCCTTTTAAGATGAAAGAGTTTGACTACTCTGCTAAAAAAGTTGTTTTTGAAAAATGTCATATTAATATCCACCAACATCTAAAGAGTATTCCCAGAAAGTGTCATTAGTTTACACTGCATAGAATAGTTAATTTTTGATAAATTATTTTCGGTCCACGGATAATAAAGAAAAGGTAGAGATTGGAGCACTTTGAACACATTTTTCTCCATTCCACTTTTTGGAATAAATTTCACTTTAGGAGAACTATCGTTTTGTTATTACATACCTTGGATTCATTTTCTTGAGTTTCTGGAGTGAAATTTTATGAAGATAGCTATGACTTTTTTCTCTTTCTTTTTTCAATTTTTGTGCTCAAGAATTAAAATTTTGGACAAAGGATGGAAATCTAAAACATAGCATTTGGGTTTCTGTGGCCTTTTTGTCATGAAAGATGGTATAGTATAGAAATATAGCTCCATAGCTATGCTCTGAACTGTCCTAAAGTAATATAACACATGAAAACAACAAATTTATATATGATTTCAAAACAATAGTTTTCCTATGCAGGCATGCTCTCTTTCATTTTTCAACATTTGCAATTTTTTTTTTTGTACTTCACTCAGTTTAACAAAATTTGGCACAAATGTTCTCAACATCAACAAAAACAAGCCCTGTAAATGTCATTTAAGTTAGACGAGTGGTTCAACCATTCACTTCTTTGGGTAGTGTCCCCCCTTAAAACATGGGTCCTCAATCTTACTTGTCCGAGATTTTGCATCTTGCTGTGCTTTATTAAACTTAACCAAGCTTTTTGTCCGTATTTCGTAGGTGACCCGATCTGCAAGAGTGCAGTTTGTTTTATGACCTAAGCTTGCCACCCAGTGTCAGCAAAACTCCCGAGCGCTCGATTTTGAGCGGGTCGTCTTCTCACGCTTTGTTTGTCACCTGCTCTCGGCTGCTGCAGGCACTGGGCCCTGGCACACCATTATGCCATCCTGGCCCAAGTCAAGCTCCTGGTGGACCTGCCTTCCAAGGTGCGGGGTTCTGCCAAGTGTATTTGCCTTGTTGGAGCCTCGTGTGAACCTGACCAAGCTCTTAACACTTTCTCGCAATTTTGACGAGCTCTTAACACACTCTTGCAATTTGGCCATCCTGTCGTCGCTCGTTAGACGCGAAAAAATACTTTCCTAAAGTTATTGCATGTGGTGGATTACAGTGCAAGTTTATTTTCTGATGCTTAGAAAGAATGGTATATTGTCTTGAACATAAACATTTGACAGGTTTGGGGGGTGAGAATTTAAGAAACACTTTCAGCCGAGCCTCAAAGATGTAAAGGGTTGGTTACATCTAAGGGCTTGGTTGCAAGTCTTTCACATTATGCTATTCCACCAATGTCCCCTCTATTGGTCATTGCACCTAGATGGATCCTGTGTGTAGTGCTTTGTACAGTTGCCTATAAATGCAATAGAATGGCTTAATTCTGTACAAGGATGTCACATGAGGTCCTTCAGAACAGGCTCTAAATATAGCAGGCGTCATTTTTCCTAAGGAGGTTATTTCTCCTTGCACGTGGTTTGTACAGTGCCCTATTGTTCACTTCCCTACGATATCGAGAGTAATGTCATCGAGACTAGAGCACCCTTCAATCACTTTCTTTACCATCTTCATGAGAGACTGAAGCAGTCAGGTCGTGAATGTTTGCCCTTCGTAAACCCAGCATAACGCTGACAGAAGGCCCAGTTTTGTGTCTGGGTCCCCCTGTCACCTTCCCTATTCCATTTGTGTGCCTGCTATGAACTCCACTCAAGGTGCTTGACAGATGGGTGGGCCAAGGGTGACTGAGGGTGCCTGTTTCAGATCTGGGCCGAGGTGGAGCGTGGTGGCTGGGTGCGTGCCTCGTGCTGCCTCCTGGTGGCCCAGCAGACGCATGTGCAGCTCGACCTTGGGGCACGCACGGCCCAGCGGGGAGCCCTCAGGCCCTGGCGCACCCTGGTCGCTCGCCAGGGCGCCTCCTTGGCCTCCTTCCACCAGAGCATCTTGCAGGTGGGGGAGATGCCTACCGGTCCTCACTAGAGTAACTGTATATGCTCTGCTTGCTGAGCCTTGTAGCCTAATGCTCTTACTACTAATTTTTTCTCTCGCTTTTGTTCTCAGATGCTCTTGCCGTGTACTATCCTTGTTGGATTTTACACTTATCCCACGCTGCCACTTTTGCCCATTGTCCCTGCTTGTGCCTTTGTTGTCTGGTTTCCTCTTTGTTAGCCTTTTTTTTCTTTGTCGCTCATTATCTTTCTTACCTGTTATCCCTGCTGTTCATTGTGCTGGTCTTCGTTTTCCAACATCCTTGGCACTTTTTTTTCATTACCCACCATCTTCATCGCCGATTGTCCTACTTAATGAATCCAGGAGGATTTGGTGAGTGCCAATTGAGACAACACTTTTGTCCACAGAACTGCTGGAAGAATCTGCTGTCTCTGGAGCTGTCGGTCGAGGTGAGTGGCGTGTCGCTCTTGGGCAGCCCGGGGTGGCTGCCCGCCAGTGCTGCCGACAAATGTGCACATCTGGGCTCGACCTGGGATAGAACGGATGTCTCGGGGTCTTCGGGACATCCACTCTGTCCGTCGAGTCCCATTAGTTTTCTCACAAAGGCCCATTCGCACACTCGCGACTCTTTAGGACTGAGTGCCTCAAAATCTCTCGCTAGAAAACACGCCGGCGCCATCTGTGCGGCAACCCTGGAACTGCACCTCACTAGAGCGAAGGTTTTGCGCTATTTGCGGGGTCAAATGTATGTTCTACCTACGAGTAATGGTTGTTTGTAACTTTAACATTTTTCAAACAAAATAAGAAAGAATGACGTGGGGGCAAAAAAAAAAAAAGAAGAAAATATACGGGAGTGCCAAGTAGGGAGGCGACAATGTTTTTTTTCATCGTAAGAGATTTTGAGGGGTTTCAGGGCAGTCGGTCCTAAGGTCCAACTGACAAAGCTGCACCCACCGTCCCGTTCTGGATGCGACTCGCAAGCATCAAAGACATTGAGGATCCGTTGGCACTCGGCCTAATGGGAGGTTCTTGCATGAACTGCATTGCACCTTTGGGCGCATGCAATCCCTTTCTTTCTCGTGGACCATCATGTCCCGGCATCGCTTCTCCTTCCAGCTGGCCCTGGAGTGCCTCTGCGGCGTTTCCCTCCTCGAAGGGTCGACGCCATCGGAGATCCTGGCCAAGTTTCTTCGCAAGAGACTGGTGAGTGTACCTCGAAAGCGGCAGCAAAGCCAAGGCTAGAGGGGCACCGCTCACGGTTGTTTCTTGGCTCCAGGGCCTGGTGGAAAGCATCTTCGGCTCGGAAGAACACGGTATGTGACATGACGTGTCTTAGCCAGTTTGAGTCTCCTCCTTTGGCGCAGTAACTGTCGGTTCCGGCAAGACTCTTGCTTGTCTCGACGGGAAGGACAGGCGACGGTTCGATCCCTCCCAGCGAGGACAGTATTGTCGCCACTTCTTATTGAGAATAACATATCTGTAATTCTCAGGGTAGGCTAAATGACTTCTTGGGGCAGTGCCGCCCGTCTTTTCCACACGACTGTTGCTTGTCTTGACTTGAAGAACCGACAATGGCCGCTCTTCTCTCAGTAAGGACAGCACTGTTGCCCGTCTTTGTTGGGAATAACAGATGCGAAGATTCCGGACGACGCTAGAGTGCAATGGGCGTTCTAAGTAGGGTTTGCAATGTTTTCGGTCAGGTTCTTCGACCAGAGAGCAGATGACCCAGCTGGCAACCCTCTTGCTGACCAGTCTGGAGCTGGTCCAACGCCTGTTTCTGCCGAGCAACTCTCAGTCGCGCGATCGCCTGGGCCGACCTCCCAGCCTTGTCGAAGCCAAACTCCTACTGGCCTCACAGTCCGACGTCTCCGGTGAGCATTGCTTGATAACCCGTCGAAATCTTTGACTGGTGGAGGTCGCGGCTGTGGTGTATCGGAAACCTTCAATCTTTTATAGGGGTGTGCAAATATTCAAAACTTCGACGCGAACAATGCTTGCTAATCAATTCGATTCACTTCGCACTTTCGCTGTTCGAAGTAGTCGAGTTCTTCAAATACTTCGAAAACTACGAATAACACGGCACTCGCTGATTAGTGTCGACTAGCGGTTGAGTTCCCTGTTTTCTTCTTAGACTGCGCAGTATGGTTTCAAGCTTGGCAAACACAAAAAGCCAACCTAAGTGCCTCTCTTCTTGTATGAAGCGCTGGTAACTTATTTGCACGCGGTAGCGCAATCTGTCCTTCGCTTGCCGTGATGTCTGGATTGCGAAGTTGGCGAAGTGGCCGTGGCGTAAACGCTGCGATAGATTTGATGAAGTACTTTGATTTGCAACGGCACGTGGATCGTCATGAGCAGAAACAGAACGGACCACACTTGCTACAGTCCTTCCTATAGACCTTTGCAAAAAGTGCTCTCTGGCAGCCGCCATTTTGCGAATCGAGCGACCCCTATCAGTCAGGAATTTCTGGCACCCGCCTGAGATGTGGAAACCCGGTCAGCGTGACTCCCCACCTGCATTGTGCATTCGGAGTTCACCGGCTTTTCTTGAAAGTTTTTACTTTATTCGCCTGTTCAGAATGTTTACCTCTTGTGTGTTATCTTCCACTATGAAAACCAGGGAATTCCAGGGCTCGTAGCCAGCTCGGACTTCGCAGGGAACGAACGAAGCGAGCGACCGTCAAGCAGCCCGCGACGCGGACAGTTCGACGTTCTTGGAGGATTATTTCTGTTAATATAATCTCCAAAAAGCCTTCCCGGCTATGTTCCGGGTCTTCGCAAAAAATAGCTGGTAGGGTCGGGTCCGGGGTGTGGGGACAGAATAGACACGCTCCTTCATTTGCTCTGAAATTGTGCAAAAAAAGCGGCTCTCTTCTAGATGTGCCCCAAAGCACACCGGATTCCGTCCGATCATCTTGAAGTGACTATCGTCGACTCTGTATATTGGATATGCTGTATTATTTGAGACCTTTCTCAATTCCTGTTCGGATAACGCGGCACCGTGGGGTATGTACAGTATACCAAAATGAGTTGCTGGGCGAGTTGGATAGACATCTTGACTTAAACAGCGCAAATAAGTTACGTAAGGAAGAGACACCAGGAAGGAAAGAGCGCTGACTCACAACTGAGGTTTTAATAATGATAATGATGATAATAATGACTACATCATTATTAAAACCTCAGTTGTGAGTCAGCGCTCTTTCCTTCCTGGTGTCTCTTCCTTACGTAACTTATTTGCGCTGTTTAAGTCAAGATGTACAATATATGTTGTTCTATTGATGAGACTTGTTGAACGGTTCATGTTGTGGGCGGAGAATATCCATGCAGTTTGGATATCCTATGTGGTGAAATATTTTTGACGGTTAAGACCTTTGTAGTTTGACACGACTGAGTGTATGGTGCCGTAAATTGATCAACATAAAATGAACCAAACATTCCAGTTGCATCTGTTGAGTAGCGCACGGACTCACGAAAACAGCTTTCATTTCTTTGTTTTGGTTCCCAAAAATAATATAATGCATTCCTAAAAACCCCTAGACATTATGTTCACCATAGAACACAAAATAAAAAATAGAACGCAGCAATTTAGCCTCCACCAGCGTCCGGAAGTGCTCCTACGCAGGCTGCCACAGCCCCCTGACTAGAAAACCCACAGCTCAGCGCAGTCGGGCAACACTGACGTACCCTCTCAAAACCAGGGACGCGCGCTGTACATCGCTTCGTTCGAGACTGCCGCTGGAAAGGTCTATAGTCACTACAGTAGCCAAGGTGCTATGGATTCGGATATGGATTTACAGCTGACCTCGGCTATCGGCGATATTCGGCTCGTGTTTTTTTCCGCTTGATCTTCCGGTTCATCAGTTTGCCAGTATTCCTTTTATTTATTTCTACCCATTTTCACTGGTGAAAGTGAGATTTGCTCCCTTCGCCAAAAAAACAACATATTCTTAATTTATTGCTTCTTTGTGGCACCCTCTATCGGCAGACGGAAAGAGATGGCGCAAAGTCAATGCGGCTGTGTGGCGCGATCACACGATCTCCAACTCTGCTGTGGCCTGCCTCTTGTGTACTTCCGTTTACGTACACGTGGTTGCATTCTCCCACGTAAAAAGATTTTGCACAGAGTCGGCGCAGCTTCACAACGTGATCTTCAACTTTGTATATTGTGCCTTGCGGACCCGCCACTGCTTGTGTACTTTCATTTATCTTCTGTAACTTCACTCCTTGAATAGTGTTTTACTGACTGATCTTTTATTTCATCTGTTTTTATCAGTCACATCTGTGACATTTTTCTTATTACAATAATATAGACCTTTCATAAATGTTTGTTGAAAAAAAATAAAATTCCAGTTGTGTTTTGATTGAGCATTCTTGTTAATTCACATAAAATAGAAAATATTTGTTGAGAAAATGTTCTTATTCAAAACTACTATTCATATTAAAAAATATTCAATTCGATGAGATTTGTAACCTTTATTATTCTGTTCGATTCGCTTCAGAAGGTTTTGATATTTGCACATCTCTATTCTTTTAAGATAGGTACTTTGACAGTGTCTCAATGCTAAAGGGACAGGTTGTGGAGCGTGCGGTGGATGTGAAGTTGTTTCAAAGTTGTTTACTTGGGAACTCTAGTTGTTTCAGAGTTACGCTGTCCAGAATTTGTTGGATTCAAAGCTCTGTTTGAGAGTTTCAACTGTCTTAGAATGCTCACTGCAGCAGTCTGCAACAAGCTAGCATAGGAATTACACAAAACAAATTAGTTGCCAGTGCTCTAAAGGGGTTAAAATGGAAACCGTGTCAGAACTAACCTGGACTTGTTTCAAATCATAATCACTGAATACTCATCTTATCTTATTCCCCTTCACTGCCAAGTATACTGACACAGTCTGTGAAATTGATAAAGAAGCAGTACAGGATAAAGCACGATTGTTGCATAATATTATCATCCAGTCGGGCTGCAAAAATCGAGAAATGCCTATTAGTTAATACTAGCCTACTGGTTCAACACTGTCACTATTAGGGGGAAATTGCTTTTAATGTGTATTTAAAAGTAATACGCATCACAAATTCAGACCCCTGTCTACGCATATATTGGTGTGTGTCCACACTTGTATTGGTGCGCATTCATTTGTTAGGCGCTAAAGAGAAGACCGTGTATAGTACTTCGCCATCCTTTTACTGTGTTAATTTGCATATTGATACTCCTGCCATTAAACCCTGAGCCCCAGGGAGCCTTTTTAGGCAGGCCATATTGCATTCTTTACAAGAAATGTCCGTCGCACGTCAACCAGCCCTTGCTGCACAGGGATCGTAATTTTCCTTGCCTGCAGACCTGGTGAACTTTGCCGAGAGCCCGTCGTTTCGCTACCTTCCACAGGCCATCAGAGGTATGCCAGCTTCTTCATGTCTCGAGCTTGCTTATATGGCAAGCAAGTTCGTCTGCCCCGTGCACAAAGGGTACAGTGATGTTACTGCACCGAGCTCCGATTAGAGACGTAGAGGGTACTCAAACGCGACAGGCTCCACTATTGGTAGAAGTGGCCGCCTTGCCTTTCCTGCGGCTGTCGGAAATCTTCCAGTTCGTTACGGACGAGGACTTGACCTTTGAGAAAGATGAGAGGAAGTAGAAGGGTATGTTGTTTTTGCCACTTAGCAACTACCAGACGCGCTACAACGAAAAAAGGACTTGCTGCCGAGGTGTTATTTGCTACCCACCGAATGTACTGGCATCTACGGCAGCAGAGCTTAGTCGCACGCACAATCACACCCTCTCACTTTTTCATACCTCCCCTAATGCGTGGAGAGATATGTTTCGGTCAACTTGCTTGCCGTATAGCTTCTAGCATGCCCTGCCAGCTCGATGAGGAGGCTTGCTTGAAGAACTCTGCACGTTCCCCAACGGTGTCCCTCGCACAGAGTACCGCATCGGGGCAAATGTCCAAGAAGGCGGCCTTCCCACAGAGCACGTGCAGAGGGAGTGCCGGGACTTTGTCTCCAAGTAAGTTCCCGGCACCACTTTCAAAACTCTCTGTATGGAACGTAAGAGCTCGCCCAACCATGCGACGTCGTCTGTCGTCTGCTCTGTCCTCAGGCTGGAGGAAAGCTCGGGCCCCCACGTGGTTTCTCGACTACGTAACCTTCAAGGGCTGCGGGCTCTCGCGCAGGTCTGCTCGTCCGTCAGGAACATCCTCGGCCAGGTACGTCAGTCCTGTGACCCTAGCCCTACAGTCGGCGACCAATTTTTCGGACGCCAATAATTCGGACTTGTTGGATATTTCAGACCTAAAGGAGGAGCCGTGAGCTACCCGGTAGAAATGGTGCATATTCACATTCAATGTTTCGGACAGTTTGAAGTCCGTAAGTTTGATTTTTCGGACGAAATTGTTGCAAGCGATCGGCGGGAAACATTACCGAGAAGCCGCCATCTTAGATTTTATGTTGGCTGCGCACAAATTGGCTTGGTTTGGCAGCACCTCTAGAGTAATGCTTAGTCTCACCGCTAAGTGGTGCTATACTGCAGATTTGTCTTTCTTTAGCTGCACGTCGATATCATCATCGTTGTTACCATTTTTTCTTTGTTCGTTCGCCATTCTACAGTCGTGGACTTGCGCCTCTCATCTCGTCTCGATGAATCGTGTTTTCGGACCACCCTGGCTCGGACGCCATGGCCCGATCTGTTCTCCCGCCGCCGGCAAAGTGTCGCTAAGAAGCGCGGAAAATACTCAACCATAACGCCAGAAAAGAAGGCAGCGATTCCCAAGCTAATAAAAAGTCGCTGAATGCGAACGGAGACGTAACCTGAAGAAAGGCGCGCAGGTGTAACCTGAAGTGAGGCACTATTTACGACTCATTTACGTCCGCATAGACGTAATAAAGGCGAGTTCTTTAATCTGTCGATTTTTCAGAGTGCCTTGTTATTCGGACGTTTTTTTTTTCGGTCCCTGCTAAGTCCAAAAAATTGGTCGGCGACTGTAGTCACTCGAGGGGTTAGAACAGCAAGGGGAGCTTCAGTTGTCCCGCCTCCGGCGAGAGCTTCTCACCTTCGACCACGCTTCAGTGTCTCATACGCCTTGAGCGTGCGAGCGCTGCTAAGAAAAGACGAAAGGCGGCGAGCGCGTGCTGGAGGCCAGGCGTTCAAAAGAGACTCGCTGTCGTTCTCGCTTCATTTTTGACTAGAGTCTGCACCGTCAGTATCGTCGTTGAAGGTCGGCACAGCATCATAGTTTGAGGGCATCGTGTCCGAGTTCTGCTGCCGATATTGTACTAGTCAGTCATGCTGCAAAGGCTTCCTCTCTTTTGGCGCTGCCCGTGCTTTTGCAGGAAGGGCCATCGTCGAAAGCGTGCGTTGCGGTGCTGGGAGCGGAGCTGTCTTCCAAGGAACGTTTCTTCGGTGCCAAGTTTGCGGACAGAATCAAGGTGAGTCCGACGATCTAGGTTCTGTTCAGATTCCCCCCTCCCCACCCCCGTTGCGGCACTCCGGCGAGCCGGCGTCGTTGTTACCTGCCACCCGAGTTTCACGTTCGCACGCATTTTGTTGCGACTTGCTTTTTCTTTGTGATTCGTGGAGTTGTCAATTACTGTTCTTTTGCTCTACTTTTTTTTAATCAACTCTTTTTCGTTTCCGTGGCCAGCGTTCCCCGTCATTAACCAAGCCGTAAGAGCAGCTCGGACTTTGGAGGTTTTGGTTGTTTCATTTCTTCAATCCTCCTCCTTGCTGTCGCAGGAAATAATGACCGCGCAGCTGGAGGGTGCCATGACCGCCTGCCTGAACACTCTCGTCTCGACACGAGCCAAGAGTCGAGAAACTGGGTCAGTAAACTCTGGCATCGCACAAAGCTACGGCTTGGCACCACCTCTTCTACACTCCGTCCACCCTTAAGCTCAGACTGCAGTCAAAACTAAGAGCGCAAGCTAGCCCGCACTCTTCGCTTTCTTGCGCGCATATCTAGCGCTAGCGCTCATTCTGTAGAAGAACGCTTCCAATCAGTGACCTCGAGCTTTCACGCTTGTGGCATTGACTGCAGTCTCAGCTTAAGGGTGAACAGAAAATACTAGTAGGCACACTGCATGTCATACTGAGAGGAGAAGCTGCATACTCAAATCGCACCAGCCATACACTCTCTCTCGCGATTTTCCTCGTTTGACCGTCGACGTTGCTTTCATTTTCTGCGGAACATTGGCAGGACGTCGCCGTTGGATCGGGAGTGCGATGCCTTCACCTGGTCCGAATCCCCGGTGGATGCCTTGCTGTTTGGCGGTCGCGACACCACCAAGGGGCCAGGCTCCCTAACTATGAAGACGCGCGGTCTCTCACCGCAAGTGCAGGCGTGAGTTTTGTGCCACGCCCCACGTCCGCTCTTGTCTGCTTTTTCTTGTGGTCCTAAAAAGAGTCTTTCGTTCCTCCGCTTATTCCACTGGGTACTACCGTATCTTCTGGACTATAGTTCACCGACTGTATACGTTTAAAAGTTGAGGTTTTCTTTCATTCCCTTGTCTACTACAGATGCACACTATATACAAGGATTTTTTTTCAGGTCATTCATTGTGATGACACTTTAGATTTTATGAATGACAGATAATGTTTAAAGGGGCACTGACACCCCAAGGGTCATATTTTTTTTTATTGTCTAAAACGATGCAAGTTGTCATAGACACGCAACAAAACTGCATCGCAAAAAAAAATTTTCTCGCGCGCGTGCGCCTTTTTATTTTTGGCGTTTTCCTCTGCCTCCTCGCTTCTTTTGATTCGTGACGTTAAGGATCATGAAATTTAGAAGTTTCGTTGGCGACATTTCTATAACATTTAATAACGGCAATCGTAAAACATTTTTTAACGCAATTGCAAACGCACTGTGGCCCTTCTTTTTGAAATACCAAAAATCAGAGTCCATTGTGGTGCCGCCTCCTGGATTTGTATCCTCCCTCGGAAAACAGGCGACACCGCTCAAAACCGTTTTTTATTTTTTTTCGGTCCGCCAGCATTCGCTCCTTTCCTCCTCACTTTGGGTCGCAATGGCAACAGCGCGGAGTCGTGAAGAAAGTGGACTCTCAGGACTCCGCATTATTTGGCGTCAACACACCGGCGCGGATCATGCAGAAACTTCGAATTCGGCATTTGGAAATTTTTTTTTTGACTTCACAAATGCTGAATTCTTAAGTTTCAAATTTTGAGGGTAATGTCCCGGCATCGTTTTCAATCGTTTCGGGTAATAAAAAAGGATATGATTTTGATATGTCAGTGCCCCTTTAATGGCGATTTGTGATGATGCAAGCTTCTTTGTGCACTGATCAAGTAGGCAGTTTTCTATGTGCTGTCTAGGAAAATTCATTTATGTGCAGAATATGCGCGAGGTGCATATTCTGTGCAATGGGTGTCGATTATCTGAGAGCAACCTTTTTTCGAACAAATATTTACCCGTGGACTGTGTCTTGGGTGTACATTGTACCCTGGTGCGAGACGGGAAATGTGGTATTGGGGCCACTAGGGGGGGGGGGGGGGACTGCACGAACAAGATTAGAAAGCTGATGCTGTGGTGTGGTAGAGATGACAATGTATTACTTATCTAGAGCATGCTTTGAAGAAAAAAGAAACGGCTCGGGGAAATGGGTTTGGTAAGTGCCTTGGAAGTCAAGTTTCCATCTGTGTTTATGCCCCCTTCACATGCTCTCGGCAAGGCAAAGATTGGCTCGCCTAAAAGCATTTTGTTATGATCTCTCATCACTTGTACAATGTTGATTTCCACTATGGTCTAAATCCTCACAACTTAAAAGAACCAAGCTGTAATCATTAGCACCAATTTAAAGCCCCGAATTGTCATGTTGAGGCATATGTTTGTTTTCTCCTAGAACCATATGTGACAGGAATGACCTTTTTCGGGTCATAGTGTGGGTAAACTGTCCGTAGGAATGTCTGCAAATGGTACTTCAAGTTCACGTATAGCTCGTTAAATGTCATTATTTTTGTCCTCGTTAGAAGAGCTGATAATGACTTATGTAGTGTTGACTCTTTGGATTTATTTTTTGTACTATATTGAGGGGTAGAGTGTGTAAATTATAGGTTCCCCTTTATAGTTTTATACGCCTATTTTAGGCCTAATAAGCAATATCGTTTTGGTTTTTTTTTTTATCTTCTTTCTGTCCCGTATTTTATGTGAACCTGCGTTGTCTATTTCATGTGAACTTCTAACCCATGTGTGTCAGAGCCCCTGTTTGGAAATGAATGGCATTCATAAATGAATAAATGCAGGATCTGCCTATGTCTGGACAAGCAGCTGGAGGCATTGCTGGGAGAACTTGAGTGCTTCCCTGCGGAGCACCGAGACCCCGACACTTGGGCAATGGTGGAGGACCACCTTGCTGGCGCCGCTACCGCGATCCTTAACAGGTGGGCATTGAGGATCGCGATCGCGCTTCACTGCACCGCTTTCTCTTGTATAGTCGATTCTTCCAACGCGAGTTGATCCTGCATCCGAAAGGCTCTGTTGTGAATGGCCCTCCTAATTTGCCTATCGTCGAAGCGGCCCGCTTTACGAGGATTAGAGAGCCTAAGTTTAAGAGAGGTAGCAACTGAAATCGCGGAAAGCTCTTGCAGTTTAATGGCGGATGCCCTCTGCACAGATCGGGTGGACGAGTGCGTTGTCGCGTGCCGTGAAAAGCAGCAGGCAGAGTGGTGATTTGACACTTTAGGCTTTTCTCAAGCTCATATTGCAAACACGGCCTATAAACCACGTGACCCCGACTGAGCAGTTGGAGACGCTCGCAAATCTAGGCACATTGACGGGGTCTTTGGCCTTTCCCTGCGACTCCAAAGCGAAGCGCCGGACTATGGGTCCCCAGGCAGCGTGTTCAAATCCGGGCCGAGGTGCGCGCAGCTCAACGGAGGCTTATTGCAGAGAAGGTGCCGCGTGACCGAGATTTCGGTTGCATGTCAAAGGATCCCGAGGTCATCGGAGTTAATCCTCCGTCCTTTGCTCGGACCTGCGACAGGTGTCCTCAGTCGGTTTGGCAAGCAAAACCGCCAGATTTGGCCTTCTCTTCTTCCCAGGTGGCTTTCCTTTGTGGAAGAGGAGAAGACGAGCTCTCCTGAAGAGGCGGACTGGTAGGGGAACTGCGCCTCTGCAGAATGGGGTCGGGCAAAAGTGCCGAGTCACTCCCCTTTTCAGGTTGGCGCTCCTGGGTCAGGTGTGCCATGGCCTTGGGGAGCTGTGTCCGGCTCTGGAGCGCTGCTTCCCGGCTGTCCCAAAGAAGGCTTCCTCCGCGGCCAAGGTAGGAACGGGGCTTGTCGGTGCTTGCACTAACGCCCGGTCATTGGCTTCATTCGAGGCCCACTTCGCTCAAACACCATTGCCTCCAGTCTGGCTTGAGGTGATTAGAAGACAAGAGGGTCCGCAGGAAAACTTGGTTCACTACCTGAATAGCCGTGCAAAAAGACATATAGAAAATTGCTGGGCAATTGTGTTGCACGGGAATCGTGTGGCGTCTACGCTCTCATCGCTCCTCATCGGTTAGGTTAGCGGCTGGCTTAACGCAAGGCATGCACACTCAGCAGCAATTCCTGAAATGGAGATACCGGCGCTAATTGGGGTTTTCAAAACGTGCGACGGGGTGTCAAGTTGCTACTGCCAGATGCAGAGCAGAAGCCCCGCGGGGCTTTCTCGCCGAATGGCACCTCGACTCCTGGCAAGCTAGAAAGACACTCGCGTAATAATCTAAATGGTCGGGGTTTGATTCCCGCCTGTCGCTAACGATTTTTTACTGCAATGGCCTCTTGCCTTCCCTCTCAAAACCAATCAGTGTCGATCCTTGCGGTTAGTATTTTATCCAGGCTTCAGTTTTGGGCTTCACGAAACGCCGAACACCTAGCCAAAGAATGTTTCACGTTAAAAATTGTTCTTGAGAAAGAGTGGCTTTGTACTTGCTCGGGAAGTGCTCTTCAACACGGCAGGCAATAAGACACCCCCTTCCCCTTTGTCACGCTTCCTAGCTCTCTCTCTTGTCCGAGCCAAAGACTTTCCCGCAGGGCCAAGCCGTGTAAAGCACGTGGCACAGCCGTGCGCTGCACCCCTTACGTTTAAGTCAGTCTCCTCACAATGGGGACATGTTCTTAAGTTTCAAGGCAAATGTCGAGGTGAAATAGTGGCTGGAACTTGGCAAGCGTGTCTAAATCACGGCGAGTGTTCTTTTGTGGCTGGAGTGCAGGGGGGCGTCTGCAAACAAAGAAGTTTCGCACCCTCTTGAACATTAAGTGCAAAGCATGATGCAAAGGAGGGTCACATTATCAGAGTCACTTTACTTGATGTGCACCCCTTTTTTTTTTTTCTTTTGAACACGCAAATTGTACAATTTTTTTCAATCATGGCCGTGGGATTGGCATGTTAACTAGACAATTTCTCGAATCTCGGTGGTTTCGACAAACTAGTGGCTGCATTTAGCGGCCAAGGAAGACGTCTTTTAAACCGATTGCCACGTTTTAATGTGCGAGTCCCCAGCTAACTGGCTCTTATGCCTCCGTAGGACCTCGTGTCGTGGCAGAAGCAGAAGATGGCCCTGTCGGAGCACCGCGACGCAGCCTACAGGTACGGCACCTCCGCGGAGCCGCCGGCATCACGCTTGCCGCCGCACTGGCCCCTTCCCAGACGGAGTTCTCAGATCGGAGAGTGTCGGATCTGTGCAGGGCATGCATGGTGGTGATCGTGAGAAAGGAGGCGGCACGCTTCAGGGAACGGATGACTTCCGGATCTGTGGACGACGTCATGGCCTCGCTGCTGGTGAGGGTTGAAGTCACGGAGGTCATGCCAGTCTTTTTTCGGGCAGCTTGATCTACCCATACTCATTGGCACGCAGTTATAAAATTACCCTTATGGATATAGCCTTTTCAGTGCCCGTCACTCGGACGAAAAATTTCAAATCACCAGGCCGTGGACGCGCACGGCATCGGGTGTTTCGTTGAAGAGGGCTACTGTGCGTGCTCGGAACGGCGTGCAGAAGGCGATTGCCGAAATGATCCGTGCTTGATGTTGGCTTTCTTGTGCTACACTGTCTAGGCTAGCGTAGTTTGTACGGCGCTCCGACGCTGTCGACGCTTCTTGCACGAGAGTGTGTTTCCGTTGGGTGCCTGTTTCGTGCGAAAGCGTGTGGGAATGCGACGCAGAGCCAACAGCTCTTGCAGCAACACTATGCAAGCCACGCTAGCCTCGACAGTAATGCAAAAGAATTAATGCCGAGTATAGAGGAGGCCACAAACGGAAGAGACGAGTGAGGGAACCAAAAGAAACGAGTTCTTCTTTTCGCAAAACAGAAATTATATTTCGAAGCCATGAAATTTGTGGAACTTTTCATTGTAACGCTTCGGGGAAGAGGGCACTTAAAATTTAGGGGTGTATCTCATTGGGATTTTCCACTTTCCTTTTTGGGTCAACGAGGGTAGAATTTACGGCCGTCATCCAAGCTCCGAGAGCTCCCTTATTTTGTGCGGGACTGATTTCAGACGTGGAGCGAGGTGAAGATCCAGGAGGAGACGGAAGGTGGCAGCACGGTTCAGTCCACCCTGAGGGTGCCGCTGCAGGTGAGCCCAGAGCCCCAATTGCACATTTCAGACTGAAGCATGCAACGTTCACCAGGCACCTTCTTAGTCTAAAGCATTTCTTTCCAAACAGCTTGAGACAAAGCATTTATGCTGTTTTCTTTTTTATTTAGAAACACGGTCACGTATGTTTCCAAATGCTGCGGAATCCGCTCCGCGCCATATCCGCATCTCTTATACGTCAACACCCCGAATGCCCGAGCCACCCTCGTGCATATGCCAGAACTTCGATCCTGTATAATGTGCACTTCCCTAGTTTCCGTTTTCTCCCTCTCCCCTGGCCCTGCCTCTTGCGCAAGACTGAAGGGTGTGACCACACGATGTTGTTGCTGTCTGCACTGTTTTTGTTTTTATTTTTTGGGCACGTTGAGATAAATTTTTATTATAATGATTCATGAGGTGGGTTCGTGGAAACTAAGCGTAGGCGTGAGGCGTGAGCAACGGCGACTGCCCGTCGTGGGCCATGATCACTGACGGAGCGGGAACAGCAGTGTGTGTCGTTCGAACGCCCAGCCTTTAGCACGTGCTCGCTTTCTTTGCTGCATGCGTGCGCCGGGGTTGCACGAGACATCGAAGGTAGGGAGACCACGCCGGAAGTGGGGCAATTGAAGCTCTTCTTTGCCCCGCCGCTCTCGCCCTGTTGGCGATTGTGCACGCTTGTCCGTACGCGTTTCCGGCGATTGCAGGTGACGGTGGCCCTCCAGGAACTGCTCTTCTCCGTCTGCCAGGAGGTGAACCGCATCTTCGGACACTCCCTGAGCAGGTACGTTCCTCCCGATGAAAACCTCGCCTGCAGACGGCACGCCGTCCCGCGCGACATGGCACAGGGTCGGGCACCACTCACTTTGGGCAGGAGTTGCCTTGCGTGTAAATTTAAGTGTGGAGACGGGTACAGTCTCGCAACAGTTTATGGCCATTCTAACAGGAAGCGAGCCGCTAACATAGGCTGCTTGTTCAACAGCGTAAGTCTGACAGTGCGGTGGAAGCTATGTGCCACATGGACTGTGTTCCAAATCTTACCCAAATGGAACGGAGTTACTCCGGCGCATCGTGTCATGTGACAACACAGATGGAAAAACGCTGGACACGTGTAGGTTTTCGAACGCCAGGTAAGATCGAATAAATTTTAGGACACAGCCATGGTGTCATGTGGCACATAGCTGACAGCTTAAAGGGGCACTAGACCACTTTTTTACGATAGTCTGTTTATGGTCAAAGCTCTATCTATGGGCTTTAAGCATCCTAAAAAACCAGACAATACATTCATCCGTGGCCAATTTCTTTATTAAAATTGGTATCAAAGCTTGATTACCTCGGAACTATCGCAGACACCAGAGAGCGCCGTCGGACAACAAGAAGCCCTTCTCTTCATTAGACGGTGCCCTCTTGTGTCTGCGATAATTCCGAGGTAATTAATCTTTGATACCAATTTTAATAGAAAAATTTGCCACGCATGAATGTAATGTCTGGTTTTTTAGGATGCTTGGAGCTCATAGATTGAGTCATGACCGTATATAAACTATCGCAGAAGGCAGTTTAGCGTCTCTTTAAGAAACTCGAAGCATGGCGAGTCCTGTGCATCTCATTATTAGCCCGCAGGCAATGGGATTGCAGCATTAGCCAATAAGAATGCCGAAGGTCGAATCATGAAGCAGGAATATTGAAATCCACGTCCTGCATTTCTTAAGCTATCGTCGACTGCGCTCACTGAGAGCTCAGAAAACATGGAGGGTGGTACATTTACGCTTCTTGCCTCGTGATTTGACCTTCGGCATTCTTATCGTCTGGTGCCACAACCTCGTTGGCTGCGTGGCGATAATGAGATGCACGGGGGCCGCCACGCCCTTAGTTTCTTTAAGTGTCAGCGACCATGGCGCCGTTCACCCGCAAGGAACCTCTGCACGTACACTGAGCCTCCCCCGCCCTCTCCGACAGGGCGGCCCAGGCGGAGGTGAGCCGGTCCGTGCTGGCCGAGCTGGAACCGACATACGTGCTCTCGGCCAGGGCGGTGTCTTCGTGCAGCCCGGCCTCGCTCTCCCAGAACTGGGCCCTCCAGCTCCTGCTGGATCTCAGCGTGCTCTCCCAGCTTCTCCAGGTGGGCTCTCGCTTTCCCTCTCTTTTATTTGTCGTCGAAGGCTGGTCCACACAGTTGCATTTGACCATGCTCGAATATTGCCGCGTGCGTGGCCCAGAAGGAATGGTTCTCCGTACTTCTAGAAGATTCATATTCACTCTTACTTCAAATGTAATGGATGAGGAGACCAGCGCGACCTTGCCGAGTCAGTCTCCCGAGTGCTCGACGCTCAAACATTCTAGGAGAAATACTCGAGACACCGAGTGTAGTAGAGAGGGAGCCCAGTGTTGCCTTACCGACTCACTTTTGCCGACGCCTTCGACGCTCTCTGCTGCTCTTTCGACGCTCATTCTTTCTTTTGTTTCTGGCACAAGTTCGCCAATCAAGCCTTTGGTTTTAGTTTTGTGCTTGTCGATCCTTTTCATCCGCGACAATATGTCGTGTTCTCCTGTAACTGCTTACGACGAGCGAACACATTCGCGCACTGGCGCCCATCTATCGGGTGGCCTTGGAACCATTTCAATTTGCATTTAACCATATCGAAGGGGGTTGTTTTTTGTTTTTGTTTTCAGTATTTGTGAGATTGAGTTAACGCGCAACCAATCCATGACCTGCATATGAATCTCGATAACAAACTCCAAACCGACGTCATTTTCTTCGATTTTGCTAAAGCATTTTACAACGTTCCTCATCAACGCCTAATGCTCAAACTTTCCCAACTTTACTTAGACCCGCAGATACTAAGATGGATTGGTAATTTACCGCAGGATCGCAAACAATTCGTAAACGTCAATAACCATTCATCTAACTATCCATCCGTAACCTCCGGAGTTCCCCAGGGCACCTTTTGGGTCCCCTTTCTTTCCTTATTTACATTAATAACCTTCCCCCTTCTGTTTCCTGCAACATCTGTCTATTTGCCAACGATTGTGTTGTGTATTGTAATATTACTAATCTAACTGACAAGGTATCACTTCCAAATTATTTTGATAATGTTCATCCTGGTGCGATTTTTGGCAAATGTCATTAAACATTAGTAAGCGTACATTAGTTTCCTTTCGTTGGTGCTCTAACCCACTAACCTACAACTATTCTATCATTGAGACCATAATTCCATCGGCACTAAGTTATAAATACCTAGGTGTGCATTTCTCTAGTAACCGATTTTGGGCACTACATGTTAACAATGTTATCTCTGAGTCTAGCCAATCATTCGGACAACTAAAACGTCACCTCAAATTCGTACCAATAAACTTAAGGCTTGCCGCCTATAAAACACTAATCTGCACTAAACACTAAACTGCTATATGGAACCCATTCCAAAATTACCTCAGTCATCAATTGGAAGCAATTCAAAATCGTGCAGTCAGGTTCGTTTTTTGTAGCTATTCATATGAAATAAGTGTCACCGGCCTAAAGGAACGTGCTCAGCTAGATAACCTATCACTTTGTTAAAATTTTTTACACTAGCACTCTTTCACAAATTCTATTACAATTTCTAGCCAAATTCATTGTAATGTATATCATGCCACCCGCATAAACTCCTTATTGTACCAGTCGTCCATTTAACGTGATGCGCACCAAAACTAAAACAGTGACCTCGTCTGCTTCATTTTTTCCACACGCAGTGAAAGAATGGAATGACCTTCCCCGCAGCATCCTTTCCATATCTTTTTCCTCTTCATTTCACAAAGAAATTGAGCAAAGTCATGCTCACCGCTGCCTCATAGTTGGAAAAAGGGAAGGAAAAGAAAATGAAAGTGCCTTTGCAATGTTTTCTTCTTGATTGATTTCAATTTAACGATGTATACTTCCTTGTCATTTTATTCCTATTGTTCTTGTTGTCTTTGCTGATTTTACAAATGCGAGTGTTAAAACCTTCTGTAATACCCTCCTTGAGAAAATCTTCAAAATCAACTGAAATAAAAAAAAAAAAAAAACATTTATGAGGAACGGTTGTTTGTTACTAGGCCATTGATTTTCCAGTGTTTTTCTTATAAAGAAAAAGTAACAAAAGCTCTTTTTTTTTTAAGCGTTGGTGTATTTTGGTGATCTGGGCAATTATCGGCAAGAAAATCTCTTGGAAAACTAAGTGCTCAAGCCTAAAACGGGAGGGTTTCGACAAATGCAGTCCTAACTTGAGGAAGTATTTTTCCAGGAATCTGTGATTGTCGGTTTTAACCAGTTCTGTATTTCTAACACAGACGGATATTTGTCAGTGTTTTTCGGTTTTAACCGATTTTGCATTTATGACACCGACGGATATTGATTGTTTCTTCGGTTAAAACTGGAATGTCCAAAGCCTACCGTAGTATCCCGAGAAAAAGCTCACATAAAATCAAGAGCAAATCGGGTGAAAATATGGAGTGAGCTAAGTTTCGGTGTACGATCAAGAAAAGCTGAAAAAATTTTATTTTTAAGTCTGGTGTCCCTTCCAAGCTTCTTATGGTGGCAAGGGGCAACGAAGCAAAGATGGCTGTACTTTTCAGTCAACAACGTTCGCTTATATCACGCCAAAGCTAAATAGCCACGTTTATGCCAAGGCCATCATTGATCCCAACACTACTACTGCTAGGGGTGGGCTATCTTTCGGTGTTTAAAATAATATAGCGAATCAAGACAAAAATAGGGGCAGGCTATCTTTCGGTGGTGGGGCATCTCAGGATTTTACGTTAGTCATAACATTGTTAGAATTAATAATAATAACAATACCTTATTCATACTTTGAGCTTGAGGTGAAAGAATGATACATAAAATGGGGCATGGGGTTTCTATTTAAGCTTAACAGATTTGTTTATAAAAAAAAGCCGTGAAAGCTACAGTTATCTGGCTTGTGCAGCAGGTGAGTTATACGGCCAGGGGAGTGTAATAAAGAGGGCTAATCGTCACGATACGTCGAATGATTAACTGAAATTTGTTATTAAGCTTTTTAATTAGTAAAAATTGACATATGGTTCCAATTACGAACTTGGTAAGTGTCATTGAAAAGCAGTAAATCAGTAATTTTTGGAAGGACTTTGAGCGCATAGGAAGCGTAGCAGTGCGCTAAATTTACCACCCGTGCAACAATGACGAGACGGAAAAACCGTGCTGGCGCGTTATTGCACCAGTAGCCTTGCTCCTGCTTTACGAGCGGCCATCTTAGTGCTTCGCAGTGCTTTCCACGTGCTCCATGCCTTTCTAATATTGACTAATATAGTGGTTTCCGACGACGCTCAGCAAGTTTTTAATTGGAATCGTATGTTTATTTTTAATATTTAATACATTAATTAACATATTTTAGCTAATTGGCCGACTGATCGTTACGATTTGCCCCCTATACTATGTCCCCTTGGTTGTATAACTCGCCTGCACAAACCGCATTAGCGTAGCTTTCGCGGCTTTTTTTATACAATTACGTTAAGGTTGAAAAGAAACGCCCTGTACATGCGGACGCGAAGCATTCCGGGGCTCCCCAATAGATGGCGTCGGTGCCTTATCTCATTGTAAGCCGTCGCAAGCAGATGTAGCGCAGTCGATGAGTAAACGAGGCTTCAGAAGGAATTGAGTTGTTAAACATGCACGTTGTCCCTTTCCGCAGGGCGACGTCGGCGTGACGTGGAGTGCTCTCGAGTCATATGTGGACCCCTTCGATTTGGATGTGGTGGTCCCCCACCTAGAAAAGCACGCCGCGCTGGCGGCACAGCAGGCCTCGGTAAGCGGAGGGTGGCTTCCCCACCGTGCTTGTCGTCTACGAGCGAGGCAGGAAAATTTCAATAGGAAAATGGGGCCCTCCAGGATTTTCATAACGGGGGGGGGGAAAGGGGGGAGAGGGGGAGGGAGGAGGGAGGGAAGGGAGGGGAGGGGAGGGGAGGGGAGGGGAGGGGAGGGGAGGGGAGGGGAGGGAGGGAGGGAGGGAGGGAGGGAGGGGCAGTGGGGAGACAAACCAAATAGGGGGGGGGAGGGGGGGGGGGGGGGGCGGGCATGCCTCCTCGAGTTGATGGTTATCATTGGGCTAACGGAAGGATAATAAGGAAGGAGGAGCAATTGCTTGATCAGACTGCGTATGGGCATTGTTTGAAGCTCGGTTTATTCTATCCCTTTACGCGTATTTACAGCAAAGTTTTCATGCTATTTCACTTTTCAAATATTCACCTATATAGTGTGTTCCAAGTCACCAGGCTCTAAAGTTTAAAAGAGACCATAAAATTCGACGCTTGCACATAGCAGTCAAAAATCTTTGTCAAAGGTGTATTTCACAGGTCGGTTTTTTTTCTTGCAAAATTGCAAACCGTAGCTCGCTTTCTGTAAAAAACAGCCAAGAAACTTGCGAGGGTCAACGGCAGGTGGCGACACAGACGACCAAGTCGAATGGGCGGGTGCGCGGTATTTTACGGTAGTGTCTCCCGTTTAAGCCTCTCACTGTGTCGTGGCGGGCATCGCCCTTTCGCTGTCTCGCAGCTCCTGTTGGGTCTGTGCCTGTCACCCCAGCGGTTCGTTTGCGAGCGGCCGCCGCCGCCCCGGTCGACGGGGGCTGTGCTGGGACACAACGTGCTCCCGCTCCACTCGGTGGCCGGACGCTTCCCGCTGCTCCCGACGCTTTCCCGCTTCCTGGAGCAGCCGGACTCGCGATCCGCAAACTCCCCCGACCAGCCGCCCAAGGTCAGTCGCCTTCTGCACTCCCCACACAGCGGTCTCCACGTTTGTGCTGTCGAAGTTTAAATCTATGTTCACCAGCGAGAGAGTATTTCTGGGACGGTAGTTCGGAGCAGACGCGCAATCGCCCTCCCAGAATCCTCTCCGACCGTCTGCCGATCGGGAAGGAAGAACTTACCGGTGGCCGTGACATTTGACGGTCCGAGATTCGGAGCAAGGAAGCCAAAGACATTTAAGGTGGAGGGGACAGGAGAAAAAAGACAGATGTTGCTCCGGTTTCGGGTTACGCTGAATGTTGTGGTAAACCTAGACCAGATGGCCTTCACCCTCACTGATTTGTTGTTTACTTTTGTCCCTCTCTTCTTTTTTTTTTTTTTTTTTATTAGTGACTTGCAGCCATGGTTAGGGATTTTTAGCCCATATGTTCTTGGGTGATTTCGAGAAATGGGCATTTCATCCCAGCGAGCTGTAAAATTTCTGGGAATGTGTGTTTCAGTGGACGCATTCACACCCCTCTCAAAAAGATTCTATTCATAGCGAAAAATGGCGCAATTTGGACGAGGACAAGGAAGAGAAGCACTAGACAAGCACTGACTAGCAACTGAAATCTTATTAGAACAGAAATATGAAATTGACGCTGACGCCCGCGCAGGCACTGGCACGACATAATCTTAAAGTTTTTTTCCTTCACCGCATGTGCTGATGAGTGTTTCAATATCATGTCATGCCAGTGCCTGTGCGAGCGTCAGCGTCAATTTCATGTTTCTTTTTTGTCAAGAGTTGAAGAAAGACGCGTTGGAAGATCACGTCGTGCCTGTGCCTGCATGAGCGTGAGCGTCACTTTTGCGTTTCTGTTCTGACAAGATTTCAGTTGCTAGTCAGTGATTGTCCAGTGTATCTCTCTTCTTTGTCCTCGTCCCAGCTGCACTGTTTTGCACTGTGAAAGCCTACCAACTTGCCCAACTGTCCATTCTAAGAGATTATGTGTTTTTTAATGCCAACTGAATGTTTGCAAGTGAACGGCATTCATTCTAATCTTTAACCGAGACTGGGTGTATTACGCCAGGTAAAACCAACCACTAAAGCTCAACTGCGAGGAAACCTTGAGTTTGCTACGCTCGGGCCGCTGATGGTAGGAATTTACCTTCCTAGGAAGCAGTTGCCGAACTCACTAGGTGAAGATATACTTCTGTATCATTAACTACATTTGATTCATAATTATAGCTTGTTTTACTTTTGTGCGAGTGAGTTTAAAGATTCACAAGTCCGAGCTTGTCTCGTGAGGGACGCTTGCACTGCATGAGTGTGTTATGCTTGGGAGGGACGCTGAAAGTCTGGGGCTCACTCCTGTATTTCTGCTACGCTCTCACTTAAAGCAAAAGGGAGTATGGTCCTATTTGTGTCAATGCCACCTAAACGCCTCCTGTTGAAGTGGACACCCAGACATGGCTGACAAATTGCTTACGTTTGGTGCAATGCGATCCTTGCTTAGATCTTTGCATTACATGGATGACTTGCGTTTCCCTTGAAGTTTGAAAGCTCTCACCTTCTCCTCGGCAACTATGTGGGCAGCAGGTAGTTACAGAAGGCCCTGACCTCTCAGTGATTGCCTGACCCTTTGTCTAATGTCTTGCAGTCCTCTTCTGGGCCAGACCTGAGCAAGATGGCACCCTCCCTGACTGCGAGCCAATCTACTCCCGTGCTGCACGCTTCTCCCTCCTTTTACGAGAAAATGGCCACCACCATGCGGTCCAGCTGGTTTGGGGCTCAGTGAAGGCCGGGAATACGGGGGACGTCTTCTTGCACCTCTTGCTCATCTCAGGGGTTCAGGAGGGGACAGAAGTCTGACAGGACAGATGGTCTCATGGACATAGGGGGGTGCAAAAATTGGACTGGAGCACTACAGTTTTTCAGCACTAACATTTGTGGTATGGATAGTACCGAAAGATAGAGGGACAGAGCAGTGAAAAAGAAAGCAAACAACCTGTTAGGTGTGTTTGTTTTGCAGCGACACATTGCACTTGTTCGAGCACTTGACAACTTTAGTTGTTTCTTTTATATAATGCACAACACCGGTGTTTAGTTTTCGAAAATAATGAGAGGAAAAGACAAAGAATGAGCCTTGCAAGTTGTTATGCTACTTCTTTGTGTTTAATAAAGATTTTTTTAACAATCTGGGCCCACCAGTATCGTCAATTTTTATTTTATACTCTGCCTTTCTGAGGCAGCCAAAATTTACTACGCAGACTGTCAGGATGTCTTCGCAGCTAGTGGCCTGTCTGTGTGAGGATTTTCTTCCTCTTCTGTACCAAGTGGAACCTCGCCTTTGTCCCTAGGCTAAAATCTATTCTGGAGTTCCACTAGCCTACAACAATGCCCTTGATGTCATCACGGATAGCCAGTCTCTGTTACTCTCTGTGCCTAGGTGGTGTGAACTGATCATTGTTGAGACGGAAGTTACGTAACCAAACTCTTCCACAACCACAAAAGTCTGGTGTTTTCCTAAAGGCTGGTTCACACATGCATCTTGGCATCCAGATAATGCAAATTCAGCACTACTGGCAGTGTTGACTCAGCACAGAGTTAGAACTTCATACTTAGTGCTTCATACTTCATTGTTTCTGTAAGCAACAAAAGATTGAGCCAGTTGTATTGAAGCACTGTGCTGTGGGTTTGACGGAGCTAATTAAAGGGAGGGCAACTCCAGTCAATATTTTTTTAATTCGTGATTACGACTCTTTTTAGCTAAGGCACTGTCCCTAAATTACTTTTGTGTGTGTGTGTGTGTGTGTGTGTGTGTGTGTGTGTGTGTGTATATATATATATATATATATATATATATATATATATATATATATATATATATATATATATATATAAATCACGGCTCGAAGTTTGGTTTCGGGCGTCTACGGCAAAACCGAAACTATCTGTACTCCTTGACTAATAGCTAACCCGCTTGCCGCCGGCTAAAGAGCGGTCGTCTCTTTAAATACGGTTTTAGTGGAGTACACGGCTTCACTTTGACGTGCCACTTGGGCTGTGATCATATTTCGTGCCACTGAAGCGATACTAGACATTTATTTATTTTACTTTTGGGGATGATGATGATGACGACGCGACTTTGCAACCCCAGTGTCGAGCACGTGCCGCATCGCGCTTTAGCGGCTTTGTAGGGGGCGTACTGCGGTCTCTAGTCTCCGGGCAACGCCGGCCGAGGAACAGCGATCGATAATTCCCGGGGTTCCCCGGCCATCTTCGGGGAGCGCTCCGGCACGCGATTGTCGATTGCGAGTGCGGTGAGAAGTTTCGCTCAGTCGTCTGCGTCCACCGCGTCCGGCCAGTCGCTCGCACGCTCGCACCTGCCGAGAAACGAAACAGAGTAGCTATCATCATCATCACCACCGCATTCCCCGCGCTTTAGCTTCGCCACGCGGCGCGCCTATATTGCGGAGAAGAGTGCTTGCGGGGCACGGCACCTTCTGTGATGGGTTGATAGATTGATAAACCAAAAACAGTCAAGATTTCTCGAAAAAAAATATATAATTATTATAGTCGGTGACAACTTAAGAAGGTAGGACGACTGAAAAGAAGGAGAAAATGGACGCAAGGCTGGCGAGGGATTGAGAAAACATCCTCCCGTCGCCAGCGTTGCTTCCGCTTCCTCCTCTTAAACCTTCCTTTCTTAACTAAAGGGTGATTTTTTTTCTTTTTTTTTCCCCTGAGAAAGGCACGTTCTAATCGAATTCTACGTCGCCCCTTCCGCGTTTGGACTCTCCTCCGCACCAGGCGCGGCGCCACGGGTCGTTCTGGTTAATGTTGTGAAACTCTTGCGTGCAAAAGTGCGACACGGGGCTAAATGTGCGTAATGGATGTCACTATGTTTAATTAACTTGATCCGGCACTTTGGGGCTGTAAAATTTGCCCTTCTGCTCACAGATGCCCATCGTACGTCTAAATACAACGTGTCCCACCTAAAAAATAAATAAAGACTTATTTTCTTTTTTGTTTTATCACATTTAAACGACGCATTGCCGAATGATCATTCTCTGCCCGAATATAGCGCTAACGGTCCAAACCAGTTGTCATATTTTCAGAACTAACCTTTATTTCATTTGAAAGTTGTTGTTTGTTTGTTTGTTTGTTTGTTTGTTTGTTTATTTGTTTTTTTTGTGAATTTGAATGGAATAACGGGGGCTCATTTTCGCTAACTGGCGCCATTGAACTGCATGTATTTGAGGACTTTATCGGCCGCCATTATGATTTTTATGTTTTCAGAATAGCACTTATAACTTTTGAATGAGAACAACTTAAGTAAAACGTCCTCTTAGAGAATCCTAACGACTGACAGTACTTGTTCTTGCTTTCTATGGGAAACTGCCACAGTAAGGATGTTTTCTTTCTTGTCCTTATTGGACAGACTTTCATTTATGCTGATTCATCGGTTGTTATTGTGGCTCTAGCTTTGAGTCCAGTTTTGAGACCCATTAAAGGAGCCTGCAATCATGTATGTTTAAACGTCTGCCTTTTTTTTTTTTTTTGCGGTTTTTACGTCTCTTGAGGTTCAGGCAAGCCAGCGGGACGGGGAGATTAACTAAATATCAGTGCGTAATATTTCAACCGGACGACGCGGAAACCTCCTCCACCTACGGGGGCGACCCGCGGTGCCGAAAGTGCGCGAAATGTGACGTCGCTGGCCCTGGGCTTACTACTGGTCAGAGCCGCTAAAAGCTTCTTTCTAGTCGAAATATAAAATATAAGTGGCGCGAACCGTTTAAATAATTTATAAAAGTAGTTTTTGTTCACTATTTTAGATCAGAAAAGAAACAAATGGAGTTTAGAAAGTACGGAAACAAGAAATGACCCGTCGACGTACCCGCCACCAAGCGGTGGAAAATGCGGCGCATACTAGAAACGTGTAGTGGGATCAGGCACGAACTTGCGGCGAGCGTAGAAAGGTCCCGGATGTACGCGGCGGCGCTGCGGTCGTATGGACTGGAGGATCCGACCGGTTCCGAGCGTTCCCAAGGCCTTCGGCGAGCAGCTTTGGCTTGTGGTTTGGCCTTTTGGCGGTATGGCAGCGCGAAGTGGCTCCCGTCCTGAACTGATATTTACCCCGTGTTTGCTGTCGGTTGTGGCCAATGAAGTGTCATGCCGAATTAGTGTTTAATCGCGCAACAAATGCAATGCGAGCCGCCCCATGGCTGCCCGCTTCCTACAGCCTATCCAGCACATGCTTTAGTGGCGCCCTCTTGAGCCGTCGACACGGAGCGCGGGTGCGGCAGCCGTGACCACTCGCTGAGCTCACAATTAACCAATAGTGGTTAATTATCGTAATCATTTTGTTTCAAGTCGGTAAAGGTAAAGGTAGATTGTCAGTTGGGAACCTGCAGGACATCATCGGTAACTACCGATACTGGATCACTCCTGAGAGATGTCAGGCGCTGGCAGTATCCAAGTTAGTAAAACACTCGACGCTTTCCTTGAGGTTTCGGTTTGCCGTCGGCGCCATCTTTTTTTGCGCCAGCGGTCCTGCGCCCTCTGCGACCAGCGGCCAAAGCGGTAACTAGCGTCTGCCGGCTGGTGTTGTCCCTCCCTTTCTCTTTTCCCATCGCCCAACCCGAAGCAGACAAGCAGCATGGTAGGAAAGGAAGATGTGGCGCGAGCCAACGATATGAAATATAAAGCGCTTTGTTGGTCGAATGACCGCGACGTTTCAAGAATAAACCGTGATTACCAAGTTCATTTTACTTTCGTTATCTTTATTCTGCAGTGTGACACTGCAGAATTTTTTTTTTTTCATTTTCATTTTTGCATTCATTCAATGCTTTGCAGTTTTCCACACAGGACGCATGGAGGTACACGTTTTTGCCGCTATGGCCACGGGGCGCAGTGCTGTTGCTGTAAATACGCTTCGTAACAGGGAATTTCTTCACTACGTGAAAAAAAAAAAAAAAAATGAGTTTGTTTTTTGACTAGGTTCAGCAGATTTCTAATTGGAGCACCTTCTTTGTAATGAACAAATGGTAATTACGTAGATCTGAGTGGAGAGATGACTGTCCGAAACGTACCTCACTAAATAGATAACAATGAGTGTGCACTAGAGCTGGTGATAATTAATCATATTATAACGCCTAAAATTAAGGTGCGAAAAAAAAAAGCTTTTAATTCGAAAAAAAGAAAACACTAGGAGAACACCTTAAAAAGTTTAGACGTTGTTCTATTGTTATATTTTTTTTTTCGACTTGAAAGTTTTTTAATTTTTCCGCACCACAGTCTCAGGTGTTTTACTATGATTACTCACTAAATAGGCCCTTTTTGGCAGTGACTACGAACGGCATCAGTTTTCCTCCCTTGCAATGCGTACTTTTCACAAAGAAAGTTTAAGCCGGCATTCCGCAGTACGTCCAACGCGTACATCCAGTGTATGACCCACCGTTCTCGGTGTTAGCATTATTTTCAATAACATGTTGGGCACCATATATATATATATATATATATATATATATATATATATATATATATATATATTAATCGTTTTGCCACTGCGGTTGACACCACAGTTTTATCAACTGCCACGCGCTTTGGTGATCCTAAAGAACAAGATAATGTTAGCATACTAACATTATCTTTTCACTCTGCCATGAGAAGCACATTTACATTTCATATGTTTGCTCACTCACGTAAATGTAATTTTTTTTCCTTTTTCTTTTTGCATTGTTAGGAATTCTGAAAATGTTCTCGACATTCACATTCGAGACTAGGTGATGTTCAGTGTCGTGCGTAACGAACACGACCAGTCGAGATAAGTGATGTTTCTTGAAGGCGATATTGACTGCTTCTGAAACATTGACTAAAAATATCTCTGCCGAAAAGAACAGTCTTTCTAGAAGTGGGACAGGGAACAGGTTCACAAATTTCTATAAAAGCCTCATTCCTACTCAGCACCTACAATTAACCTATAAACCATGTTTTTAGACATGCTTTTTGTGTGCATGACATCATCAGTTAATTCGCAGGCACGGGATGCTCCGACCCGCCGCGATGCATTCAAGACGGCGGTCCGTTGCATCAGCCTGGTCCCCTTGGCTACAACTATAGTGTTGACGGGCTTCGACAGCTGTTCACCGCACGTGCATTGTGATGGGCGTAGCGATGTACCTGCGGCATATATTGTTA